CATCTGTAAACTGCTGATTCTGATAAGGGAATTAAATGCTTATTGTGAAATTGTAGTAACTTTTAACTTGAATGCATGTACTGAGTTAGGAAGGGAAATCTATTGGCACACCAGCCCGACTAAGATGTTTTTTCACCAGATGGCCCACCTGTATGACTCCGGCCATGAAGTCGGGCCCCACATCCAGGGGGTAGTTCTCCATCATGTAGAAGGCCACGGCGCACATCACCAGCACGTGCTGCTGGTTATGGAGGTTCACACAGCTGAGAGCAACGAGAAGAAAGAGTTTAGGGCCAGCTCTCACTCCCCTCACTTTAGTAAGATTTATGACAAACTAACTGAGGGCAGATCCTCTAAAGGTGAAGGGGAGGGGGGATAAAACGCCCTCATTAACCCTTTAAAGCCTGATCCAAGAATAAAACAAAACAGAAAGTTACTTATTTTTTGTTTTAAGTCTATACTTGGCCTTTTAACAAAATATGAAAAAACAAAAAACAAAAATACATTACTATGCGATAAGTCAAGATAATTTTTTGTTTAGTCTTCTGCCCCCTGTTATCAGGTGTATCTGATTGTGTACAATAGGATTTTGAGCAAAGTTTTTACCATTAAATTATGCAAAAGGTGTCAGACGCAAAACATTTCAGAAACCTTATGTATCAAATATGATACATTTGGCATTACAGGGATAAAGGCTTTCATAGTGAGGACAGGGATGTCCCGATCCAGCTTTTTGCACTTCAAATCTGATCCTGATCCCGGCCTATCAGAGCATGTGTTAAAGTTTAAAGTTATTCATCTACTTACTTAGTTGTCAGACTCATGTTGAACAGGGATTTACTCTGATAACAACTTAATGGTTAGGACACAGACCTGTGGGTTAGAGATGCTAATGCTAATGCTAATGTGGGATCGGACTTAAAAAACAAACTGGATCAGGACTCTGGATCTGCATTTTCTCCTGCCGGTCGATACTCCGTTTTTTTTGCAAATGTCAGCGGCCGATCCGATCCAAATCAGAATCAGAAATACTTTAATAATCCCAGAGGGCAATTCATTTAGTTACTAACTCCAGGATAAAACAACAGCATATACATATATAGATGATACATACATATATAAATAAAAATATACATAAGTAACTACATGTGTATATATATATATGCAGTGGGGGAAATAAGTATTTGACCCCTTGCTGATTTTGAAAAAATGGATCTGGAGTCTGGATCTGCATTTTCTCCTGCCGGCCGATATATCGGATCGGGACGAGCCTAGTCTGGACTCACTGTGCGATGGCCCTTAGGTTGGACAGCAGGTACTCGGACACGGTGGGGATCAGCTGCTTGGCGGTGTCGTCCAGCAGGTCGCACTCCAGCACGTACAGCACCCCGTGCAGAGCCCCCATCCGGCTGGGCAGGTGGGTGCTGCGCAGGGTGGTCTCCAGCAGCCGGCACACCGGCTCCGCGATCACTTTGTCCTGGAAACGGACGTTTAGCTCATTGGCTGCCAAAGACTTCTATAGACGTCTTTTATGTTTTTCAACGAGAGTGGCTGGGGGACGATCTGCTAAAGCTTGTCCGTAAATATCAGGCTTCTAGACAGAGTATGTAGTGACAAATTGACCCTCTAGGGGGCAGTGCCACTTTTGATGGGAGATGAGCATAGACTGTAGGCATATTAAAAAAAACGCAATGGTTCGCTATGAGAGAACATGTCGCCGGTGAGACGCACGTCGAGGAAGAACGGAATAAGGTAGAAACAAAAAAAAATTTCTGATGAAAGAAGAGAGTCTACTCTTTCTTTTGGTGTGTTCGGTGTTTACATAGTCATAGCACAAACTATTCTGTGGCTCTTGAAAAATCAGTCAAAATGTTAAAAAAACTCTGCCAGTATGGGACTCTGTTCTGAAAATGGCTGGCAGTCGATGAGTTAAAGGGGACATATTATGCAAAACCAAGTTTTTAATCGTTTGATTATGTACATTTGGGACTGTGGAGGGCCTACCAGCAGGCAAAGTGTGAAAAAAAATGACTGAGTCATGTTTTGTGGGCCGCCTCAGTCTGAATCCAGGAGATAAATCAGGAGGTTTCAGGAGTGGGTAGTTTCTGACGTCATTAGCTCTAGCTCATTATAATATTCCAGCCTTTCACCTGCATGTTGCCCCCACCTCAGCTTACTCCCCTATCTGTGGAGACGTCCTGGTAGCGTGAGCGTTAGCATGGTAGCGTTAGCATGCTAGCGTTAGCGTGGTAGCGTTAGCATGGTAGCGTTAGCGTGCCGACGTGGGCACACCTCCCACAAGAAGTGGGTGGATTGCCTGTGTCTCATTTGCATTTAAAGAGACAGGCACTCCAAAGCGAGCGCTCTGAACGGGGCTGTTTTGGGTTAGGGTTAGGGTTAGGGTTAGGGTTAGGGTTAGGGTTAGGGTTAGGCAGGGGGACTGAACTGCTATTGGCCTTCATCCTTATGGGATTTTGACCAAAGCTTGTCACAGACATTACATTAGGACACCAGGGAACTAGCTTAACTTGTTGAAACAGGGTATAATATAACTCCTTTCAGGGGCCGTGGGCTTTAAGAGCAGGGTTTTACTCACCATCCCCAACACGGCCGCCGCCTTACAGATGGCCGGGACCAGGTACTGGTTCAGGATCTCGTCCTCGGGCGGGTGGAGCTTCTGCAGCTCCATCAGGGTGGAGAACATCATGTCGAACTGGTTCCTCTCCGTGAACAGGTCCGACACTGCCAGCAGCTAAACAGACGGAGGAAAAGGGGCGTTTGGTCACCTGGGGCAAGACCCCTCCCCCCAAAAAGAGCTTTTTCCCTCCCAGACTGCATATTAGGGATGTCCCCATCCAGCTTTTTGCACCGATCCCAGCTTATCAGAGCATGTATTAAAGTTTAAAGTTATTTATTCTACTTACTTAGCTGTCAGACTCATGTTGAAACAGGGATTTACTCTGATAACAACTAGCAGCTGAATTAGGGAGTCTGAATAACACACACTGGTTGGTAAAGAGACTCTGACCTGTTTATTCAGGGATAAAACAAAAAATAGGATAAAATTATAAATAACTAACGGAAATGGCATCAGTGAACAGTAAAAAGTGCAAATAATATTGTAAACTGTATTAAAAAGGCAAAACACACAAATAACCTGAATAGAAAATAGTCCATTAACTCGGTTTTACATCCAGCTCTTCGTCTTTTTCGTCCTTAAGGATAAAATAATCCCGCACAACTGACATTTTTACCGATAGCTTCAAACTAACCTCGTCGTCTTAATGGTTAGGACACAGACCTGTGGGTCAAGAGATGCTAATGCTAATGCTAAAGGGTGTGCTGGAAATTGACCGGACCGGATATTAGGGAACAACACAGCAAAGTGGGATGGATTATTTTAATCGGTAAACTAGAAAAACACGGATCTGACTTTTTTAAAAACTGGATCGGGATTTTCTCCTGCCGGCTGATACGCATTTTTTTTGTGGAATTTTGTATGTATATATATATATGTATATGCTGTTTTATTTATGGAGCTAGTAACAAAAATAATTTCCCTCTGGGATTATTAAAGTATTTCTGATTCTGATTCTATTATGTATATATTTATCTATATTCTTTGCTAATATCGGCGGCCGATCGGATCCAGATATCGGATCGGGACCAGCTTAATATGCAGTAATCCATAATATCCATCAGCTAGGGGAGGGTTAGGGTTAGTTCAGAGAGGGAGAGGGCTCACCGATCGGACCACCTCACTGATGAGGATGGTGGGGGTCCTGCGGTTGCTAGGGGAGACGGGGATCAGCCACTGGCTGTAGAGCTCCAGCAGGAACTGGGAGCAGGAGTGGATATCCACACCGGCCCGGTGCTTCCTGGAGAGAAAAAGGAGAACATCGAACACAAAGCTTTGATCGGAAACTAAACGGGATCATTAGATGTGTCCTATCCTAACCCTAACCCGTACATCTACCCCCCACAGCTCCTATCCTAACCCTAACCCATACCTCTACCCCCCCACAGCTCCTATCCTAACCCCAACCCGTACCTCTACCCCCCCACAGCTCCTATCCTAACCCTAACCCGTACCTCTACCCCCCCACAGCTCCTTCTGTAGTCCCTCTACCTCTATCTCTATCTCACCACTGACTCTGATCAGTGTTTCTCCTCTG